CAAAAGCTGGCCTCGGTCCGCACAAAAACAAGGAGAAGCTGTCACATAAGATACATCCCTCAAAGAGCTGCCATGCGCTGGGGAGCGGCCGTTAACTGGGAACGGACTTGGGCAACATCGAACCGTTTTCCACAATAAAGACATGCGTTCTTGACTCTAGATCTGACGGGACTTGTAAGATGTGCAGCAATACCACCGCTACTGAATCAGCCAGGTATGGCGCGCCGATTCGGGCAACAAATTTATATTTCGAGTCTCGCGACTCGCACGAGAAGATCTGAGGCAAGAGACCGGAGATGCCGCCGAATCGCAGCGCACCTCAGCCAGACTTGGACTGGACCATGCCGCCAAAGTTCAGAGTTGATGACTATGGATTCTCATGAAAAGGACAGGCTGTACCTGCTAAGCTTTTCGGCACGTCAAGCTCTGCACATGCATGCTGTTGGGGCTTTGGGACAGGCGCTCGCGACAGACCCACCTTGAGCACGAGGTCTTAAACTAGCTGCAAGTCCAAGGAGCGGCTGAGAAATGCCACTGCCCCCCACTCCATTTGGCTGTGATGAGCTTGCCAGGCCTCAGTCTTCGTCTTGTGCTTCGTGAACGTTTCTGCAGGGAAAGCCCATGTTGGCCCGCTTGCTATTGCACATGACTCGCTGGATCACCCAGTGTATACAATTGGGACAAACCTCGGGCAACGCTTCTTCTGGCAAGTCAGAAATCAGGATCCGCTGCCTTCAGTTTATGAAGATGGCCAGATGGCCATTACCTGCTATTACTGTTCCGCGCATACTCACCGTTCTGATGCGAAGGAAGCACATACCGTCAAGCAGTTCCAAGGAATTAACGATTCCGTGAACCGAACTTCGAGTTTTCACGCCCGAGAAGGCCCGGTATGGTGCCCCAAACAGTTCCATTGATTGCCATCTGCGTCTTGCGAGTGCCAAAACGTTGCCAAGGCCGAGGCTCTGGCGCCTTGATTTGAACAGGGCCCCACCAATGAGTGTACGTCTGATCCAAGAACTGCACACAGGCGGAATTAGTTCTGCAAAAGGCATCTATTTCAAGGCGCTGCTGCTGGCAGGGAAGGAGGGTCTGAACTAGAACCTCCACTACAGAACAGATCCGTCTCAGTGAGAAGCATCAGTCGAGCACTTCAACCAAGCTCCTGGTTGTTCATCTGGGCGTTGTTCTGAATCAAGTCCTTGGGAATATCTCACTCAATCGTGGCAAACATGCAGGACCAGTTCCTTAGTTACAGCTATATCCCTGTGATTCTGCAACAGCAAGATGGGCTCGGGGTGGGCTGCGAACACACTGCACCTTCGCTGAATCACTGCCCAAAGTCACGTGCATAATCATGTGTGTCTGTATGCAAGGGATGTGTATATGTATGCGGTGCATGTATGAATGTCTGTCCGTATCTGTCTGTGTCCCTCCCTCCCTCCCATCCATCCATCCATCCGTCCATCCAACATGATCCATCTATCTGACGGTGAGTCCATGTGCCAATCTATCTCGCTCGCTTGTCACAACTGCAGGTGAATGTGCATGCTTGTGATACGGGCAAATGCATGATTGAAACTTCGCACGTAACCTAAACTGCCGCATGTCAGCGCGGTTTGTGCGTTTGTTGGCTCGCTCATCGGCTTTGACTGCATCAAGCCATGTGTCAGGTACGATGCGCCTTGCCCGTGACTGCATGCAGGAAGCTGCGATGACGATACAGCCAAATTGGCAGCAACAAAAAGTGCCCAGCGAGCGTACAAGCAATACAAAAGCCAAGGCTAATCGACATGCCATTCAGATAGCAGTCATGGCAGCAATAACTACGGGGATATCTGCAATGCGAATACGCCTCCTTGGCCTGTATATAAACGTGGAGTTCAGAGTACTGCTTTGCAAAAGATCTAGCTGGTATTCCTGGCAGCCCTTTGCAATGATGACCCTACAGCCCCGGAGGATGGTATGAGTACCGTGTGGTAGCACCTATAAAGTTAGACTTTTCTGCCATCCACCACCCTATTATTATCATTTAGCCCCCCCCGTATCGATAGCCTATACAGACCATACTTGCCGATGCTCCGAGGGATATGTCGCATTTGGCGGAGGGCGGGAGCCAAACTTCTTGCCGGGCACCGGCTCCTTCCAAGCTGGCACAAGGCTCAAGTGGCTCCGTTCGAAAATGTCGAGTCAAAAGGACCTACGAGTAAAGGCGAAGCAGTCGCAACGATTCAATCACAAGAAAGGCGGGATGTCATGCCACTGCTAGCTTCTACCCTTCTCACATACAACGAATCCTGCAACGTCTAGAGGCAAGAAATGAGGTAGCACACAGTTTGACCATAAGCGATAGTGCTTGATAGCGGCTTCGGAAGGTTTCGGTCTCCAGGTAAGGCATGTTCAGTTGGTCGCAGTCAATTGGTGGTCGTACACAACCCGGAGTTCCATCAATAAAATACAAAGCAAAACACAGAGCCAAGTAATTCTATCTCAGCACAGTACGTCGGAAGTGCGCAAAGCCCCTTGTTTCCGAGGTGGCATTGCGGGGCTTGACGAGGCCAGGCAAACGCTGTTGAAGTTGTGAAGCCAGCCTTTCTCGGCTCTGCTGGATAACACGAGATTGTCTTGCACTTCTCGATTGGATTGGGATGGACGACTCCGGAAAAGTATTTCAAAAAACGTGGTGCAGCAGTGGCTTGCAAGTCCGCTTTCTTCGTAAGCCACATAGCAGACTCCGTGTTTATGTTGGCGAAGATCCCTATGGCGCTGCTGAAAGGATGACCCTCAGCTCTCCGTGGAGATCATCCCTCCGAGGCCCTGGCATACTCCACGCCGCCCATGTAAGCCTGGGTTTGATTTTGTCAGCACTTCCTTTTGCACAACTGCTGTCCCTGCAATCCAGCCTGCAAACATATGCATGCCTTACGTCGTTTCAAACTGCTTTCAACGTCATCAAGGCTGGGCTGCCGTAGACTTAGAGACTACTTTACACTGAATCGGACAATCACACTGTCGTGCCAAAGGCCAGAAACCCTTAGTTTCAATCGTTGTGTGTCCTTTCAAGGGTAATGTGGCGTACCATGGAACTGCCTCCGAGTGTAAATTTATGGATACGCTGTATATTTAATTAGTATATGTAGAAAGCCTGGCCTTTGACGCGCTCCATCGCTGCCATGCGCCTCCTGTCACCAAGGTTGATGCACGCAATGCGTAGTGCTGCGCATTGACCGTATCAGGGTTTGCATCATGCTTCTTAGACTCTCAGAAGTCTGGATACCGGTTACTGGCTGTGAGAGCAGGTTCAGCATCGCTTCCTATCGATTGTAGCAGCGAAGCCGGTGGGTTACATTCCTGCTGGCCTCGCTCCCGCACACTTCTGCCTGTACTGCTGAGGTCCCCGCTATTCTCGTGGATGTGGCCAAACAGATGCACCTTCAAACGTCTACCGCAGACCATAGCTGTGAACACCCCATGGCCCTTGGCATGCTCTTCCCTTGCTCCAATGCAATCCACCTAACATTTGAACCCAGCCGAGAAACTCCCCATCGTCCCTTTCACGGGCGAAGCCTTCGGTCGGATGGCTTCCAGATGGGAGCGCAAATCCTACAAGTGCCAAGTGACGAACCCAAGGCGATGTTTTCGGAAACCTGCATGGATTACAGTCTTGGTCCTGTCTGCCCAGTGTCTGCCGATTTAGCGACCACATATTCGTGCGGCCGTAGGGCCTTGAATCTTTGCAGCAGGTTTCCTAGACGACTTGGCAAGGGTTCAGCCCCATGGGACGTACGTATCTGTATAGAAGTATGGAGCTCATGTTTTCCTCCTGTGCAAACGCACGGCAATAATGGTGCAGCCTGGGTCTAGAGTCTAGATATGATAGTACGTGAGCTGAGGTTGCCTTGAGGCCAACTCAACGTGGCACGAGTTGCCTCTGCATACATAATCTCTTTGGGAAACAGTCCGACTGGGCTGCATACGTGATGCGAACGACCCCCACACGCGCACGCACACACACACACACGCATAATATATATATATATATATATATATGTATATATGTATACAAATATATATATATATATACACACACATACACAAAAAAAAAGTCAGTCACGTCTTTCATGGAGACACCCTCTTGACAGAAATCCTTTGGGCGGAAACCCCGCGGCCTTGCTAGACCCCCACTGGCCGTACAGAGTCTGGTCGAAGATGTTCCAGGGCCTTAGGAGCAACGAAGACCGGAGTTCCGGGGTTTCACGGAGGCGATTCCAACTTCCATTCTTTCGAAGTCTGCCCGGGAACTGACGGTGCAAAGCTGAATCGCACAGAAACCTGGTTAATGGTTTAAACCTGCAAGTTTCCCTAGGCTCCCTGCGCCATGTGGCTCATCAGGATGTCGACACCTGCGGTCCCAACAGTGGCCTCTACGGCATCGTTCAAAGGTGTGACGTGCTTTGCCCGGCCTTCGGGGATCTCGGCATAGCGATGCCTCAGCGCTTGCATCGGAAAGGCTCTGATCCCTGCTGAAAGGGAAGGGCACTCGGTGTATGCTGATGGCACCGCTGCCTTTCCAACCCATACCTGGGTTGACCCGAAAGTTTATCCTGGCTAAAGTGCTGCATGGTAATGCTTCTCCAACCCCAGTCCCACGCACGACATGCAGCGACATAAAACGCCCTCCGTCATCAAAAGGTACCCCGCCTTACCTTTTGCATCATCGGAGAGTAAGCAAGGTGCCACAAGCGGACATGCCCCGGCACACAACCTTGATCAGCTCCCATCTGTTGCGTATGTCGGAAGGATAAGACCCAATTTAAATTAAGCCATCCCAACTGGAGCACAGCAGACCAAGAAGTCTTTCAACAGAGGGTATCTCCGAAGACAGGCCGTGCACCGGGGAAAGACTGTACTCGATGTCCGCCACATGCTGAAGTCATGCGGGTGCAGGGTCGGTTGAATTACAAAGAGCAGAAGACTTGCACATTGGTCTCTCTTGCCCCTTATGATGCGGGCAGCAGCTGAGCTGCAGGCACGACCGCTACCCAAGCATCCTTGTTTGGCTTTGTGCTCGTTCCACAAGGTTCCGAATCCGGGGGCGTCCTCAGTGCAGACATCTCGGTAGTGATAGCCGTGCCACCATTCATGACGACTCCAATTGCTAGTTGCCTTCCGCTGAGCGCTAATGTCGCTGGCTTGCCCTTGTTGCGGTCGGCACCGAATGTTGTCCACAGAAGACGCTTGTCGAGAGCTTCAGTAAACACGACCAGGCTGGCATCGCTGCCAGCATAACCGCCGACAATCTGCCCAGCAAAGGTCATAGTCTCCCTGTCTGCGAGGCAGCAGGCAGAGGTGCCGGTGAGATAGACAGCTGCATTGCGAGCATCATGTACCAGACCACCATCGCGGGTGCGGAAGGTATTCAAGCGATTCTTGGACTGCAGAATTGGAGCTACGAAGGTACCGATCTCCACCTCGCCATCACTGCTTCGGATGCGTGCAACGTAGCCAATGTGTGCAGCCGACTTCGCCATCCACATCGGTGTTCCTGTGTCGCGCGCGGTCTTTGTCACAAGATCACGTCCGTTGTAGCGGAAGATGGTATTTCCACCGGCCGACTCTCCAGCAGCGTAAACATAAGCTTCGTCCTCTGAGATAGCAAGGCTGTAGATCCGGGTATCTGCCATGTTGCGCGCAGCATCCAATTCTGCAGCAGTGAAGTGTCCCCAAGTCTGAGTCAAGCGTGTCTGCAGGTCTTTGCTGTAGATCTCCACACGTGCAATCTGCACTGGGTTGCTTGCCCAGTTGTTGGTGAAGGCCCCGAGAACCACACGGCCATCGCTAAAGAGCTCCACAGAGGTAGTGGCATCATAGCCAAAGCGGCGATGTGCCAAAAGAGAGCCGCTTTCCTTGACGACTGCTACCGTGCCGTTCTCGGTTAAAGCAGCCACGCGGCCGCCACGAGCGGGTGAAAGCCCCTTCACATGCTGCAGAGCTGATAACTCCCAGACTTTCACGCCTGATGCACTGAAGCACTGCAAACCCACACTGCTACCCACCAAAACATGCCCACTTTCAAGGACTTGACATGCGCTTGGTGCCGTGGACAACGCAACGGCGCGCCGAAGCGCGCCGCTTTGCCTGTCTAGCCAAGCAACTGCATGATGCGGAGTCGCTGAAGGGAAGCTGCCGCATGTCAGTACCTCACCAGACTCCTCCAGCGCCGCCACTCCAGCAATGTTATCATCAACGCACTCCCCGGAGAGCGGGTGGTAGCTTGCCATCACCGTGGGCTCGTTTGCCGGCGCCTCAAAGCGCAAGCAAAGGGAGCGAGAGACCACAGCAGTCGCCATGATGGGGCGTGTCCATACTTCACAGCGGCGTCCTCCACCGTACTCCAGTCCGTAGCAAACGGGAGCAGCTGCACAAAGAGCCTTGCAGCCGGCCAAGTGCTTCACATCGTGCAGAACATAGTAATCTGCGGAGTTGTCTGTAACAGACTCACCACGGCATGCACGGTCCTCGCCACCTTCCACTAGAGACAACATGCTGACCGGCCAGCCGAAACGGAGGCACTGAAACTCGCCCCACGCTGCAGGTGGTGTGGAAGTAGTGGCTATGCCTTCGCTTCGCATCCACACTTCGCAGCGTCCACTTGGGTTGTACTCGATGCCTTTGCAGTCAGAAGCCCGTTCCTCGCAGAGGCTTTGGCAGGCTTCCAGGCTGCCGACGCCAGCAGTTACCTCGTAATAACTCTTGCTGTTGTCTGTACGAGAGTCGCCACGGCAAGCGTGGCTGCCAGGTGTGCTGCTTACCGCTTCCCATACCTTAGTCCGTGCGGCTGGCAAAGCTTTTGTCATGCTCCGGCGCACAGCAAGCAGCGTTGTACCGCAGTTCGCTGAAACCGCTGCTGCAGCGCCACTTGTGGGCACCGCAGTGCAGAACTCCGGCAAGACAAACAGAAGCACAAAGCACCGCCACACGGCGACCATAACGGCTCCAGGAAAAATCATCATGTTGACCAGCTTGAGCCAGAATGCCTCCGACCTCGGACCAGCCAGAAGAGTTCAGGGTGCAACCACATCAACCACAAGCTGGCAGGCTTCCACTCGCACTTGGATGCCAGTGTCTGCTCGAATTCGGCAAAGGATCTAGGTGCTGGTGATCGACTACATGTAGAAGTGGTGCTGAACTTTATATATCTACTTTTTAGAATCCTTGTGCATGCTTTATTGGAGCTATGAGGCCTACTATCATGCCTTAACCAGCATACTCTGGACTGTTCTGCTTTGCGGACAAACGTCTGGTCTTACCGGAGTGTTACCTGGCCTGCTTCTCACAATTATTGCAATTGCAGGCAGGGTGTGGCATGATCCTACCCGACATTGACATTTACATCATTACATCATATTACATCATAGCCTCATAGCACAACAATTCATCGGAGAGACCGTGTGTCTCAGGCCCATTGTCCGCGTGGGCTGCGGGGTTCAGCTCCAACAGTGGCGACTGCATCAAACCAACTACGGTCGAAGTTGAAGACTTAAATACGGGGGTAGTTAACAGTAGGGCTTTGGGCGGGCACAACAGCCCCAGAGCTGCTGTCGCAACTTTTCAATACTCCCGGGCGAAACAACTGCTGGTTGTGGGGCTGGCGCGCTGGCTATCCATCAATACCACTGTCTTCGAGGGCTGCTCATACAGAGTTTCTACCCCTTCAGGATGAGTACTTCTTAAATGTTTCAATGCCCTTCAGTTTCGCATTGCTGGAGTATTGCTTGCATTGTTGCTCGTAGGTGGTGTCGTGCAGAACCTGGCCATCTAGCACGAAGCCCTGTCACAGCCATTCAATGTCCTACCACAGGTTGCCCTGCTACAGTATCATTGTAAATCCCCTTATTCAAAGGCTTGGCCGCAAGCGTCGGCACTGGATCTCTGCTGCCATTTCTCAAGGCCTTTCAAGCTTGTGCAGGAGCGCGGCTCTCGGTTCATCGCCGGAACATGTTGCGCAATGTGAGCATGCTCAAGAAGCAGATGATTGCTGCTCATATGCCAGACTGCACGTCACGCCCAGGGTAAAACCTTCTGGCCAGCGCTCTTAAGCCCAGTCACATCACTGCTGTTGACTGTTCAAGGTGTTCGTATGGGGGCCTTTATGTTCCGATGTTTCATCATGCATACCCCAGGGCCCAGGGAAAAGTTCACCCATCTTGCCGTGCCTGCTGTTTCCAGGCAGCGAACACGCGCTGCCTTGGATTCACGTAGTCATGCGGAACACGACACGGAGTCTTGAACCTAAACACCTTGACCGAAATTTAGGAAGCAAGCTTTCTCTTTGTTCCGACCGGCACACCGTCAGACCGGGCCTCACCCCGAGAAGCAAATTTCACTGGGCAGACCCCACAATTTCGCATGCTCTTTCTTTCCTTCACAGGGGCTTAGGATGCTCTCGCTTGCTTGCTTCCTGCGGCGTCCCCACTTGCGCATCAGCCCTATACGCCAGCCAGGGTTCGTGGAGCTGAAACTAGGAGAAAAGTGGGAGGCTCAGTGCTGCACTGTCTTGCCGAGGGGATCAATCCCCGAATGACAGACTCACAGCATCTCACAGCTACAAGTAACATCGCAATGCTCTCTCTCTGCCTCTCGCTCGGCGTTTCATACGAATAACTCTAAACTCTCTCAGCCCCAACTGGCCCCAACCACTTCGGAAAGGTGCAGAATCCCCTTTCTGCGACAAGGAGCCTCGCTTGCGTCCACTCCATATTCCTGAACCCAGGCAGCGGAAAAAGGTGTCAGCTGGGCTGGTGGTGCAGGTTTGGGCAAGTTCATGGGTCCAGATGGTCCATGTGGAGTTCATGCAGGCCCCGATGCCGCCACACGTGCATTGCATGAATAAACCCTCACACGTAAACCACAAGCCCAGTGGCGGACTGAGGGTGGCGGTATCTGCATGATCTGCAGATCTTCATTCTTACGAATACTTTTTGAATCTTTCTGAGTCACAAATCATGTCATCCTCGAGACAAGTCCTGAACGAAGCCCGACGGGCACACAATATACCACAGGATCCACAGGCGAACAAGTGCCCGCCCAACAGAGATTCGCTAAGAACTCCGAACCCCGAAACCGTTTTGCCAGCTCACCACCAGTCTCCAGGAGCTGCATACCCGAACCATGGGCACCTGAGTACACGCTGCTTGCAGCAAAAGTATCTTGCTCGAAGCTCGCTGCCGTGTTCTCTCGCAGTTAGGGTTTTTCAAGCTCGCACACCTCGATAGGGCAACAGGTTCGCGCAGTTCCAACTTCCGTCATTTGCTGCAGGACATGTCACCGCCCCTCAAAGGTAATCCTGCACACAGACACATTGCACATTAGTTTAGTTTTGTCGGTGTCTGCACCAGCACCACGCAACACTGGAAAATTCCGACCAAGCCAGAAAGTTGCCTGTACATGGGATGGAGCACTTTTGCCTTGCAGAGGCAAGCTGCGCGGCTACAAGTGAAAGGCCTTGTTCATGGCATCTGCACTCGAAGGCTCACGAATCCAGCGATTCATCTGCGCAGCTCAATCAATTCTGGACGTTTCTGGATCTCTGATGCTATGCTGCTGCCATGTGTACAAGCTCTGGGCAAGCAGCACACGACGAGGAGGCCAGGCCAAACGCAGTACCAAAACATCAATCCCAGCCAGTGTTCCTTGTAGCTGCGCAGAAAGTTGTCCCAGTCCTGGTCGAACTCTGAGCCGTCCGACCACAGGCTCGGCTAATCGCCTTCTTGTGTCTCCAACGTTTCTTACTGTGTCCGTGGATCTGGCAAGCACTCTGAGGCCCACCACGATAGTTTGAACAAGATTCGTTGGAGCCAAAGGTTACAATGCTTCAGAGAGCCAATAGTATGTCACGATTGTTATGGTGACGATTCTCTGCCGGAGGATCAAATGGCCGAATGTTTTGTGTTGCGAACTGCTACAATGTGCTAGAACTGCGCCGATGTGAAGTTGCCGGTGGGCGTATAATTCACCATTCGGCCAGCACAAACCTGAGGGCTAGGCCAATCTGATCCGAAAATCCTCACTCCAGCAACCTGGCACATGCGCAGTCTTCTCCTGTAGACCTGCAGTGCAACTCTCTCTCAATGCGTTTGTGGCGGCCTCCACAAGCTCGTGGTGTAGCACTCGGGCATTCGGCACTTTGTCCTGCCTCAGCGACTCGGTGCTCACCCGACTTTGTCAAAATGAGCTATGAGCGGCTTTTTTCCCTTTTTTGCATGGCTAAGTATGAGCGGTTTAGGGTTTAGGGTTTCGACTCACACACTCGCTCAAGGCTGGCATGGCTGATGAAGGTCCGCGCTTGCTACTGGTACATCTGCAACAGCCTGCCCTTGCTGTAACGGGCACCCTTCGCAGACTTACATTCCTTGGAGGGTCATTGCTAGGGTTTAGGGTTTAGGGTTTAGAGAGCGGCAGTGGAAGTCAAGAGCCTAATCAGGCACGACAGAGTCGGAGGTCATCCCTTGTGCGAGAGAGACACAGAGTCACATACACACGGTCGGATTCCCGGAGACACAGCTCTGGACCGACAAGTTTAGGGGCTATAAGGCTCTTAAAAAGAATGGGCATTCGAAGATAGTTTTGTGTCTGAACTGTCTGAGCAACTGCGACCTCTTGGGCACGAGCAGGTGCTTCGGATAAAGCAGCACCTTGGTGCAATAGCTGCAGCAAATAAATAGTCTCAAACGAACTTAAAAGCCCAGTTTGCAATCGACATACCCTTGGAGGACCTGGTAACCGAGTGATCTAGGGCCTACTCCGTACGACGAACTCTCACTCGGCAAGCACCCGACACGCATCCTTCCCCATCACCCACTGTACGACCACTGCATGCTACGACGACAATGCTGACTACTCCTACTGCCACTGCCGCTGCCACTGCCACCGAAACTGCTACGGCTGCTGCTGCTGCTGCTCCTGCTCCTGCTCCTGCTCCTGCTCCTGCTCCTGCTACTGCTTCTGGTACTGCTGCTGCTGCTGCTGCTCCTCCTCCTTCTCCTACTCCTACTTCGACGGCTACGACTACCACTACGACGACAACGACTGCTGCTGCCGCTATAGCCGCTATAGCTATTGCGATTGGTACTGCTACTGCTGCTGCTGCTGCTGCTGGTACTGCTACTGCTAAGAAAGCTAATGCTGCCGCTGCTGCGACTACTGCCACTACGTACTGCTACGAAGATACCACTACCACTACGAACTGCTACTACTTCGTCGTCGACGACGACGACTACTACTACGAATCCCGCGACTACGATTGTCACCGCGAGTACGACTACGACCACGATCACGACTATGGAAACGACGCCACTGCGACTACTACGACGGCGGCTCTGGCTACGACTACGACGACGACGATTACTGCTGCGACGACTAACAACAACATCAACATCATCAACAACAACAACAACAAATCACAATAATAATTATTATTATTACTATTATAACAATAACGATTACTACTACTACTACTACTACTACTACTACTACGACCTCCTCCTCCTCCTCCTCCGCCTCCTCCTCCTCCTCCTACTACTACTACTACTACCACCACTACCACTAAACCCAGGCTCAAATCCTGCATCTACTGCTGCCACCATCGTCTACTCCTTCTACTGATTACTGCTTGCTCTTGCTCTTGCTCTTGCTCTTGCTCTTGCTCTTGCTCTTGCTCTTGCTCTTGCTCTTGCTCCTGCTCCTGCTGCTGCTGCTGCTGCTGCTGTGCATGCTGCTACTTCTGCTGCTATGCCACTGCCACTACCACGTGCATACGACTGTGACTACGTGGGTAAGTCGACTGATTACGACCACGGCGTGACAACAACGACGACGACCACTGCGGCTTCTTCCAGCATTGCTAGCCGAACCACCACCCACGACTATCAACCAAATGAAAACGCTTTCCATAACTACAACACAGTTTTACGACGATGACACATTTTTAATGATATTCTTCAGCCCACCAACAGTGCGGATCCATGAAAAAATGATGATCAAATGCATGTATGCACGGGTGTATGTCTGTGTGTTTGCGTGTGCGCGTGTGTATGTCTGTCTGTCTGTCTGTCTGTCTGTCTGTCTGTCTGTCCGTTCGTCAGTCTGTATTATGTATGTATGCATGTATGTACGTACGTATGTATGTATGCATGTATGTATGTATGTCCGTATGTACATCCGAAAGTGTGCGTGTGTGCATATGTGTATATGTCTCTCTGTCTGTCTGTGTGTATGCACGTACCGCATGTATGCAAAATATGTATGTATGCATGTATGTACATATTTATGTATGTAACGTATGTATGTATGTCTGCCCGTGTGTATGCATGCATGCGCGTAAATATGCTGTCTTGCATAAACAAGCCAATATGCATGTATGAACGGATGCATAGAGGCAATAACATACGACCGATAACACAGTTGAGAAGTCAATGAGTGCTCGAAGATTAGCAATCAAGAACGGTGGATGATGGTGGATGCGCTGGTGCCTCGGGCTCGGTTTGCCATGCTTGAACGCGGCCCAGCTGAGACATCCAATCGTGATTGCCTGCCGGGGTCTGTCAGCAGCCAATCTGTTATAGTGCAACGGAACAGGTCCCCGCATGGCATGAGCGAAGCTTTCTCGATGTCCGATGACTGAAGCAGAATTTCGTCGACTCAGCACAGGCTCCTGTCTTGAAGACAAGTCCGTCTCTTGATCCCTGCCTGCCTGATATCATAAGCACGCCGTACTTGTAGTGGTGCTTGATCTCACCTTGCGACACACTGAGACCTTGTCAAACACAGTAGAGCCGCCCTCGCCCGAGACCCCGCGCCTAGCCATTCGTTGAAATCTGCGATCTCTGCATCGTCTCCATGGTCAGAGATGTCTCGTGCCAGAGTTCCAATGAAATGCTCAAAGCTACTGCTTGACCGATGACTTTCCAGCAAGGATATGTGGTCTGATAACTGGAAGCAGCACACACACACACAGAGAGCAAGTACATCTCAACTCTGACAGCCTCCGGTGTGCAGCAGAATGTCGGCATGTGGCATCGGGAATTCCTGTGAGGCGAAAGCAACAAAGGACATTGAGTGTGTCACAATCCGATTTGCAAGATTCGGCCCTGGAACAAAGCCCCAGGCCCACGAGTAAACACGTTTCCCATGTACAGAAGTTGATGCTCGAAACCACGTGCTCCTCGTCTGCTTGGTTACACCTGTTTCTTTGTAAATGAATCCGACTTGGTACTCGTACTGCTGGCATGTCACGGCCCCGAGAGATCGCAGAACGAAGAAGCACACTTCCCTAATGCCCGAATCGAGGGCGGCCTTTGCCATCGAGCGGTGCAAGTTGTGCGTGTCACTGATATGCAGGATCGTCACCTCCCGCATGTGGCATGGCAAGTTGTTGCACTTATTGCTTCTGTGCAGGTCTGAACTCGTCTGTTGGTGAAGGCCACTAGACAGGGATCAAGGGTGCACAGAAGACGTAGGAATTAACGCAGTGCTGGCGGACAGCTGGCTTTGTGCACATTTCAGGAACAACCCCAAACCGACTCCCCGACGCGGAATGGGTCATGTTCTTTGCTTCCTGGGCAGAGTGCCTCACACTGCCCTCCCGGCGGTGGCAATTGCTCTTCCTCGGCTTAGGAGAACGGTTCTTGCAAGGTCCCCAGTGCCTCCATGCAAGAACGGTCACTCAACTACAATCCCCCAGGTTAGGGGTCTCCACTAAGCGATCTGTGCGCTGCCGCACTCTGCCTCTGAGGAGGCCACTCCGCAATATCGCTCTTTGAGCCTCCGGGCGCAGGGAGATCGAGATTCTCCAGAGAGTCCCAATCACTAAGTCCTACAAGTAATTGCAGACCTCCAACATCAATATACGTCAATGAGTCCGTGCTTCGCAGAACTGCGAGCGAGTTCAAGCCCGAAACCAAGACAGTGCAAGAGCTTGCCACTGAAGCCCCTTCTTGTCCCAAATGCGCTATCGCGTTGAGATCAGTGCCAATGCTACCACCACAAAGCCGCAACAGGAGTGCAACACAGGCCCTGGCCGCCGCGGTGTTGCGTACGGGGAGGTCAGCAAATGAGGGCCAAGGACGGCCAAGGTCACCAGGCCTCTTCACCCAAAGTAGTAGTAACGGTAGTAGTCGTCTTCGTAGTAGTGGTGGTAGCAGTGGTGGTGGTAGTAGCAGTAGCAGCAGCAGCAGCAGCAGCAGCAGCAGTCTCAGTTCATAGTCGTCGCAGTCATAGTAGCAGGAGTATTCGTCGACAGTGGTAGTGGTAGGTGCTAGTCGTCGTCGGTGGTGGTGT